CTCCACTCCACTTTCATATATGGTGTTCATTAGTTTTGTCAGTGTTTTCAAACCACCTTCTCCCAGTAACTTGAGCACATCTCCAGGTACATCATCATCTCCTGTAGCCTTTCCCTTCCTCATTTCCTTGATAGCTTTTTCCACCTCACTTTGTAAAATATATGGTCCTTTCTCGTCTGTATCTACTTCTTCTTCCGGTTCTTATTTATGTAAATTTATATGTACCATGTGATATGTGTTTGTAAATATCAGGAATCTTATTTATTTAAATTTAAATGTACCGTGTGTTAAGTGTTTATATATCGACTTTTACACCATATAATTCGTATGTCTCTCCAAGATATTAGAGCCGCGATTATCTTCATGTGTAAACAAAAGTTGATTGTATATAAATTCTGAGCAAACACACTTTTGAAGATTCAAACCCAGAATGGTGTCTGGTCCCTTCTTTCTTTATTTTATTTTCCCATAAATGAAAATACATTGATACAGGACTCATCATATATAATACTATCAGTAAAAAACATATGTCACTTGATTGGGATTGCTGCTTTAACCAAATATTATACTGAATTTTGAGACACACACAGATAAATAAAGCCAATAAATTGTAAATATCTCACAGACCACAAGTTTACTGTTAAAATGGAAGATCCATTGCTTTTGTGTATGTTGTAATTGGTTTTTCATTGACATCCAAAATTTTTGGACCATGATCTGTTATCAGACAAAGAAAAAATAATGTTTTATTTCCAAAACAAATTAGTACCAAAAATAGTCATATAAATTACTAATATTCCAATTGTGGAAGCTGTATTTACAATGTGCACCCTATTCAAGCATAGCAGCCTTTATTTTCTTCAGCCATGTCTTAAAATGCCCATTTAGAATTTATGATATATAGAGAAGTATACAGAGGAAGGCAGTCATGGCCTGTGCCCGAGTACTGTCCTTGCCTTTAGGGAAGATGTCTTTGTATTCCAAAATTTGCTACTCTCTCCACACCCTTTGCCATTTTTCCATTCTCTTGTATAGTTTAATGCTGAATGACATATTATCTGATGCAGTCTCATTAAATAACATACTAGTATGGGGGTTGAACCTAAAATATAAATTAGTAACCTCAGCAAGTCTGGAAACAGCCTTTGAAAAGATGTAACATACGGTTATAAATGTCAGTATGCTATTATAAGGGAGGACATCAGCCTGCAAGTGTGGTATCCTATGCTATGCTCTCTGTAACTAAACACAGAATATAAAATAGAAAAAGTGGTCATTGCTTTTACTTAAAAACAGTGACAAATATATTCAGTATTGAAGATAATTTTGTACATGCAATAATATTGCTTGCCATCCTACATAAGAATGAATAGAAACTGTAACTGTACCAAACCTAACGATTGCAATAGCAGGATTTTCATGTTGATTCCATTAAAGAAGGCATACAGGCATGAATGGCAGACTAAAAGGGATGCACTTAAACTTGACTTATCTTTTGAACCAATGGAATTCCATTAAGAACTTGCAGGCACATCCTCTGATACCAGCAGAATGTGAGGATATGATTTACATTAATCTACAAAACAGTCAAAACGAGGAAAACATTCTCTTAGTACATGAACACTGAAGGGTCATTCATATGTTGACTTGCTCCCATACAGCTGCAGAAGTGTGTGCAGCATAGAAGCAGCAGTCAGTCATGTGCTAAAGCACTGTGTGATGAGATGAAAACCCGTCAGTATTTAATTTTTTAAGCACAGTAATTATAAACAATAAAAAGTCCAGATTTTTGTCTTTCAATGCACATTAATGACTTATGAACTAAGACACCCACATTTAGAGGCATTAATGAGATGCTAAGTACATGGAATAGTAACACGCTGTGTGAGCCTAGCATACTGAATATGTCTAATGAGGCTAAGGGATTACGAGATGCTATAAATTAGCTTACCCGTGGCCAGTTTCAGAAGAGGGGTTAGTGCCTTCACACGCTTCTTCCTTTCAGACATAAATACTTAAAAAGTCAAAATCTTATTCAATAATATTTATTTACAAAGAGAAAAATCAAAAGAATGGTACAGTTAGAAATAAGAAAAAACACATTTGTATTTGAAATTGTATCTTTGTACAGTTTTTAAAGTGTAAGGTATATATGAACTTATAGATGATTAATTTACGGTTATTCTTAGAAATCTGCAATGAACTTGTGCCATAAATATACATGTTATAATTCTGTTTATGTGAGACATGCAAATGAAAGTTACAGAAACATGTTCACAACAATGAGTTCTGCAGGTCACCCAAAGTATCTCCTTATGAATATACACATATACATAAGATGCAAAGAAGAAAGCTGTGCAGGATTAATATAAAATTAACATGGAACCAATAAAAATACAAGACACCCTGAATTTCTTCAACTTAGAACATTTAACTGCAAAAAAATGGTGTCATATGCTGATCTTCATGATTTATGTGAAAAACTTACGGTTCACAATGCAACTGAAGATATTACCACATAAAGGTCAAGATGGAATGTAGGCAGAATGGGTGAAGACAGACAGATGAACATAGGCTTATAAACCTAGAGAACTATGAGGAAGAGAAAGAGATGCTGGAAGATTTTTAAGCCAGTACAGACATGAAGCATATGTCAGAAGAATATGCACCCAATGCCAGTACAGTAGAGTATCATTTATTTGTCCTGAAAGAACATTGATTGGAAAAGTACAGCTACTCAGCTTAAATTGTTACATGATTTAGTAGATAAAACTTTATATATCAATAATTATTTTAAATGTCTTAAAATCTTACCCTCTTCTGTAATTATGACATTTTAAGAAACATATTACAGCATTATTAAGTTCTATTTTCAGCCTGTCATTGATTCTGTGAGCAAGGCCTAACCCAATGGGAATAATCAACGAGTCACCCGCTATGAGGTTCAGAACCAGAAGACCACTTTGAGACTATGTCTGTGCAGATATAAAGTTACAGATTTTGACTAGGTTTCCTCATATTTATAATTAATTTTATGCATTTAATCTACCCCCCCTTTAATATATAACTTGTTTAAAGTAAGCTTCACGCACATAGTCTACAAACGTATTTTAATGCATAAAATAATCCCTAAGGGCTGGTGGCCAAACCCCTCCAACATTTGACACCTCAATGTATAAAAGTAGTTTTATGAATCTATAATTTGTTTCCATTTAGTATGGCATGACAGCATTATAATATGTTTACATTTTATATGGCACAAGAAGGTTCTTCAAACTCTGCAGAGAAGTTGTTTGGGTTGCAAGGTCATGGAGGGCCTTGTCTCATGGGCCAAAGCCTTAGCTCACTGTCCTTCCCTATGCAAGTCTGTTCTGAAATGGGTTTGGCCATCAGATCACAGCCCAATATTGGGCCTTCCCCACTTGCCACAAACATCTGTTATTCTCCCTCCAACCACAGGTACTTGGCTACATTGAGAGAAAATGACATGTTAACATTTTAGGTTTCTTGTGTTCCTCCATGTCAAATTAAATATGATGAGATCAGTGTTTGTATGTTTGTGTATGTGTGCACTTACTTCAAGTGACAAGCCTGTAATATGAATACAGATGAAGGTTTAGTAGAAACCCTGTGTAAATACTGGACTATGTAGAATTAGTAATAATTTCAAAGGCAATATTACAACAGCAGAAAGTAATATAATTTTAGTGATTGTACTCTGCTGTACTTGAAAAGAAATCGATAAGGAAGTGTTGAATTAATTTAAAGACAATTTTAAAGAGATTCAATGTCACATGAATCACTGATGCCATGATTATCAAACAGCCTAAAAGATATATGTGAGGACTAATTGGTCTGGCCCAGGGAGTAATACAAATGGTGCATATTTAGGTTTGTACAAATAAGTGCTGAAGGCACTGGTCTATCCATTTGTATGCTTAACACATAGACATTAAAAGGCAAAGATGAGCCTAGTGGGATCCAAATCCCTCCCTAACCCAAGAGGGTGTTGTATTTCTACAGCCACTTTGTTTAAAATGTGCCTGTCAACATGAGATGAGACTGTAGTTGCTAAAAGGTGGTGGTACTGTGTAGCATAAGTAAATCAGTAAATTGTGAACATATAAATAACATAACTGTTCTTCTCTTTGTATAATTATAGGCCTTGGGGGAAGGAGGTAATTTTATTCCTTTCTGGCCACACCTGTTCGGACAGTCACAAGACGTCACTGACCATTACAAACTAGAAGCATACAGATTTATTTTATTCTGACTTCATATGGAAATACATTTGGGTGAACTGCTGAAGTAACTCATCTTGTACAATATTTGACACAGTCTGGCATCTGACTTCAGCCAACCATTCATAAAGAAAAGAAATATAAATTTAGTGCAATAACAATTTTTATCACAACTATCTCTATTCTGAAAATAAGAAAATTCACTTCCAATATTACTAACAAATAGATTAAGCAATAAATCTTTATTTTACCCACACATAGGATGCACTTTTTATTTTAATTTTTCAGTTCAGATATATACAGATGTAAACCAAATGCATGTTCTACTTATTCACAAAACACTATGAAAAACATGATATATGACCCATTAAATCATATAATCAGTACTCTGACCCTTGGATATTTTAAGATTTAAGAGGTCTGTTGCAGAAGTACTCAAGTTGAAAGACGCGAAACTATTCGTTTTTGCCTATAGTGACCAGATGCAACTTAAAAATGTTAATGTGACACACACATACACACACCATTGAAACATGAATCTAAATATAAAATAAAAAAAAAGACTTCTTTCCAAAAACAAACTATCAGCAGCATTTCATATTCTTTAGTGACTGAAAGAGGCACATGGATTGTAGTGAAATGGTGATTTGTAACTTACCCAGTTTCCTACCACAAAACAGATGTATGACATCTGCAAGGGCAACCTCTATGTGGGCAAATAACATAAATGTACATTATATATTATTAAAAATGAAACATTCATTGACAGTACTGTGAAAAATAACAGTGAAATAGTTCTGTTGTAGTTTAATAAATGTATGTAGATAAATTATATAATTTCAGTAAGAAATAATTCTGTACTCACCACCTGAAGTAGATTTCAGTCTACAGATTTAATACACTCATGCTATAAAGAAAATATTGTCTACTATTATATGTGAGGCTCTAGTACCTGTGCAATATGAGTGTCTGAGCATTTTCCATGACTGGTACATTTATTTCTGGATATGTGATGAGACTGTCATCTGTTGTAATGAGCACTGTTTGTGTAGGGGGTGAATGCTCAACTTCATGTTGCACTGTTGTTTGAGATGTTGCAATGTGTAATGACTGATGCTTAGCTAGTTCACGTTTCTGTGAAAATATCTGGCCACAATGGGGACAAGGAAAGGGTCGATCTGGGGAATGTGTTCGGCGATGTTTGAGCATGTCATTCTTCTGAGTGAAGCATCGACCACACATATCACAGGCATAAGGACGCTCGCCTGTGTGAGTGCGGATATGTACATCAAGCGCACCCTTTCGTTGGAAACGTTTTTCACAATGTGGACACGGATGAGGCCGTGCCTCTGAATGAACACGAGCGTGCTGAGCCAAGTTACTAGAGCATCGAAAACCCATACCACATTCAGAACATATATATGGTTTTTCTCCCGTGTGAATTCGTTCATGTACCAGCCGGGCTTCACGAGACAGGAAGCCTTCCCCACAGTATTGGCAGGTGTGGGGCCGTTCCCCAGTATGGAAAGAGCGCATGTGATATGATAATGAACCCTTGTTGCTCAGCCGTTTTCCACATACTCCACATTCAAATGGTTTCTCACCTGTGTGGGAGCGCGTGTGGATGGCCAAAGATTCCTTTTTAGCAAGAAGCTTACCACATACATCACATTTGTAAGCCACTTGCTCTGGGTCATCTACCGATCCTGACTGCTGTCGTATGCTGTTTTCCACCTCCTCTTTTGTATGCTTTCTGCGATGACTCAAGACAGCTCCCAGCGTAGCAAAGCCTTCATTGCATACCCGGCAAGTGTATTTGCGTACTCTGTCATGACGTTTTATGTGCTGTGTCATGTTTCCCCGGCGGTTAAATCGGACACCACACAGATGACACTTGAAAGGTTGCATTCCTGAATGTGCTGAACCATGTTGCCGAAGCTGAATCTTTTTGTGAAAGTGTTTGCCACACACATTACATGCGTATGGACGTCTTCCAGTATGCACATTCATATGCTCTGACAAGTGAAACCTGGAACGGAATCCCTTACCACAAACATCACATACCTGACGATTCTTATCAGAATCATCCCTGTGTGAACGCTTATGGCTACGGAGATTGCTGACATGCTTAAAGCTCTTACCGCACAGATCACAAAGGTATGGAGTTTCTGTGGAATGGGTGGCCTTGTGGATGCCAAGACTAGCCAAGGAACCATAGTTTCTGTCACATTTATCACATTTATAAGGCTTTTCATCACTGTGATTTGCTAGATGATGATCCTTCAAAGTCTTCTTCCCTCGGAATGATTTTCCACAGAACTCACATATGTAAGATGTTGGCTCTGTTTTCTCGGCAGCAACCTTTGTGTGACATCGTTCATGTACTTTCATTCCTACTGCATTGCGAAATGTTTTGTCACAGTAGCTGCAAGAGAACTTCTGTGGGCCATGCTTTCGCTGCTGATGCATGATTAGTGCAGTTTTTCTTAGTAACACATATCCACAAGTTTCACACTTCCATTCCTTATGACGTACCCTTCTTTTCCTTTCCTTATTCTCATCTTCAGTCTCATCTTCCCTTCTCGTGAAATCTTGCATTACTCCATCCATCTTGGATTTCATGAAGATGTCCCAAAGTTTAGATGTCTTCCTCTCAAATTGTCGCTGTGGCCTACTATATGCAGTTTCCTCAGTGCCAATATATAATGGGTCAGTGGGATCAGATTCTCCAACATTTTGTGTCATGTTATCATCATGGAGAATACTGTTCATCTTTACATCAGCACTGTCAGCATTATTGCCATCTCCAGCCTGTTCCATTTCAGGAACCTCACTCTTCAGTAGTATGGAGCTTGATTTCTGGCCACTGTGACAACAACAAAAAATGTTCTGTATTGGTATGAAATCATAACATCAAAAGAGGAAATAAGAATTGCTATCCTGTATACCTCACTAGCCTTGGTATATGCAGTTAGCATAAAAATGATAAATTAAACATGGACTTTGGGGTGTTATTTCTGTGGTAGTTACAGCTTGAGTAAACTTTTAGGATATCAGTTATTTTGATAAGCAAGAGCACTGAGTAAAGAACAGTAAATTTAAAAAAATTCGCTTAGTGGGGGGTGCAGTCCAACTGGGTCCACTCGGCACGGCGGCCACTGATTGGCCTATTGTAGCCTGCCCCAGGTGATTATGATTATGGAGAATTTGGTGATATGAAAACTGGCACGGGAAACCGAATTACTCGGAGACAACCAGCCCCAGCGCCACTTTGTCCATCACAAATCCCACTTGACCAGACCCGGGATCGACCCCGGGCCGCTGCGGTGGGAAGCCAGCAACTAACCACTTGAGCTATGGCACAGTCTAAAGAATAGTATAAAATATGTGGATTTTTTTTTTAAGTCTGTCAACAATAATGATACAATTGGATTTTCAATGTCACAACTAAGTTCCTGAAGAAATGAAACTAAGAAACATGAATAAAACTTAACTTGGTTCATCCTGATCCATCACACTAGTAATTATATGTAAGATTTTTAACCATCGTCCAGTGTGATTGATAAAAGTTTTTTAATTTGTCATCCTTTACATATTTTGGTCAAAACAACCATCTTCAGAAAGATATTATCAACACATGGAAACTACTATTACCATGTCATATATATAAATATTGTATCTTTTAACTAATGCTAAGATGTACATTGATTTGTTAAAACATCTAAAAATTATTACAGTAAGAACCAAATTGGTTCTAGATTAGAACAAATATTGTACACTACTTTGCAAACAGACTTATTGTAATAATTTTTAGATGTTTTAACAAATCAATGTACATTTTAACATTAGTTAAAAGATATACTGTATTTTAATTATATCTATAACATGGTAATTATAATTTCCATATGTTGATAATAACCTTCTGAACATGGCCATTTTGACCGAAATATGAACAATTAAAAACACAACTTTTATCAATCACACTGGACGGTGGTTAAAATTCTTATATACAAACATGAATAAAATTGAATTGAACTGAAGAACTGAATGTTTCTGTGACTATACGAATACTTAGCTGTAGCTGTTCAGAAATCAGAGCATTATAGATGGGAGTTACTGATGTAGAACTCCTAGTTGTCCTTCATATAATTCTTATCTCTCCCTTACCCCAAAGGACTGGCCTGTTTTCAAAAAGTAGAATATATGAGACTGTGACTGTATGTATCACTTAATGGGATGGTCTTGTAAGCTGGCTTATCTTTGTGTTCTGCTGGTCCATTTATGTCACCCCAAACTATGTTGCCAGAACCTAGAAAACTGTTCATAACCATGTAAACTGATGAATACTGCAAGCAAAACCTCCAAAAACTTCATGAGACTTAAAATTCTGGACTGTTATATTGGAGTTTTATACAGAGATTATAACTTACATGAATATACACTATTTGAATTAGAGATGTCCAAGTTTCAGAACCACATGTAAAATGTTTTCAACATTTTAAGCAAAAATATATCAGAAAAGGCGGGGGCACACAGTAGCATAGTTGGTTGAGGTGCTATGCTACAAGCTGGAAGGTCATGGGTTCAATTCCTGATGAGGTCACTCGATTTTTTCAGTTCACCTAATCCTTTGAGAACTCAGCCTCTACCAGAAATGAGTACCAGAGGGTAAAGCGTGGCTGGCATGTAAGGCTGACAACCTCACTGCCACCTCTGAGCTGACTGACTAGAAAATGTGGGAGTCTTGATGTCTCACAACCCTATGGGCCTCCATGGCCTCTCACAGAAATAGTTTTTAGCTATTGGGGAAGGTATCTACTACTTCTGTTACTTACTTGTTCAATGTCCTTTGTGTACTTTTTATATTCTTTCCATGTCCTTGCTTCACTTTCTTCAAGAGTTCCATTGCTGTCGACAATTGATGGCTAGGTAGTGTAGGTCGCTTTGAAGATCTTCGTGTTGTTACTATGTTTGGTGCCTTATGCCATGGGTGATTAAAAAAAGCAATGTGAATTATGGTATGTTTGAATGTGGTCTACAAGTGAGATATATCAAAAGACAACCCAAAAGTCTTGAGGGCTATCACAGGAAATCTGATAATTTTCCCAATTATGTTACCATTAAGTATGTAAATAAATGACTAGAAAACTTTTACAGAACTTGATTCAGAAACTGACCAAGCATAAGAGATATTAATGGATTGTTAAGAGTAAACCTTCAACTGCTGTGCAGAACAAAGTCTTCCCCTATGTGGGATATGAATTTCATGTCATTTATCTTCAAAATTAAGATTCAGTAGATCAGTACAATGAGGGCAAGCTACAAAAATGTCAAAATATTGTCGCGTATCGGGGGTATGACGCGACAAATAACTTCACGATNTATATCTTCAACAGTACCTTACTATGGTAAAAATAGCACACTACCAAGTTATGTTATTTACTGGCACTGTCAGTTTTAAGACTGTATTGTGATGATGGGGGGGGGGGCTATGCTACAAGCCGGAAGGTCGCAGGTTCAAGTACTGATGAGGTCATTGGATTTTTTTTCAGTTGACCTAATCCTTCCAGCCACACTAGGCCCTGGGGTTTACTCAGCCTCTAACAGAAATGAGTACCAGGAATTAATTAAATAATTTTCCTGGGGAGTAAAGCGCAGCTGGCGCGTAAGGCTCACTATCTTACCACCATCTTTGAGCCGATTGTCTAGATAGTGTGGGACCCTCAATGTCTCACAACCCTATGGGCCTTCATGGCCTGGTACAGGGATAGCTTTACTTTTACTTTTATTGTGATGACAGGATCATTAATGGACATGGAGCAGTTGGTGGAATGAGGAATTAGCATGAGAAACTGTAGTACACAGAGAAAACCTGCCTCAATGTCACTTTGTCCACCACAAATCCCACAGTGCTGCCAAAAATGCAGCTTCTTGGGAAACAAGTGATTTATGTCATCTGGTAAACTGATTGAAGGGGAAATAGGAAATGCCATAATTTTGGTGTCCTACAGTTCTCCATCCCTCTCTGTTCAGCCTTTGGCCTTCTCCCTCCCACCCCCTCCCCAAGTTGTTGTTCAGAAATTATGTTTTATTTTCAAGTGACCACGGTGAGACCTCATGAACCCATATCTGGATATCCCTGGCCAAGAACCCCTTCCTTAAAGCTACAAAAGGCAATGTGGTTTACAGATGGCTTATGGTTTAACAGTACATTTTATGGCCCTGACAAACAATTTTGACACAATCTTTGTAAGGGACATGTAGTGTTAGACTTTCATTTCATGACATTAGCATGTGACAGTCAAACTATCACTGTGGGCAGTGGAATGACTGGTATTTAGGAACAACAAGAGATGAGGACACATGGGATATTAAAAATGCTGTACAAGAGCTTATTGAATGGGGAAAAACACAGAGCATTTGGTGTAAAACAGGATGGCGTTTTTCTAGATAAAAGGAGCAGAAAAATTACATACACAATAAATGGCATATCATTAGATGTTGATAATAATTTTTATAAAATAGACACATAACATATCTGATAAATTAAATACTGAACTGTTGTACAGTCTTTATTACTATCAGAAAGAGAACTAAACCAAGACCTACATTCTGATATAAGGATAATACTGATGAAGGTGAAGGTGAACGTGGTGGTGGTGGTGATGGTGATGAAAAAAGATATGCACATTTCTTGAGACAATTATTCTGCACAGAGTTTCTTAGCTAGAAACTTTGCACTTTACTGCATTACTTACTAAGGTTTCTCTGAAAAGGACTCTTTTATCACGGGCATCCAATGTTTTATTACGCTGCAGTTGTGTTGCTGCAAAATTACTCTTTTCTCCATAATCAGTCTGAAACCAAAAACTAAAACTTTATTATATGAAAATATACATAACCACAGTAGGACACAGGCAATCAAAAGTTCATATTAAAAATATTAATGTTATTGGCAACTCCATAAAAATGATTTCAGATATGAAACAACACACATCTTATAACAGCAGATTTCAGAACTCATTACGACAGTACAGATTACATGATGATGATGGATTGTAGTAACATCAGATAACTTGGACATCTAATAGAAATAATATTACTTTCAATTACTTTTCAGTGGTGCTTATGAAAAACTATGAGATCTACCTATGGAAAGGTATTTGAAGTCTCATAAAGTATGGTAGTGCTGTGAATGTTCGTGGACATAATCTCTTACTCCGAGAGTGCATCATAAATGTAAATATTTGAAAACAGGAAGCTACAGATATTACTTACACCTAAGAAAGATGAAATGGAGAAGATTACATAATACAAACTTAAATAATTCATGATCTCACCCCTATATCATTAAGCATGTTATATAGTATGATAAAGTTGTATCTGGGCTAAATTAGTTAAGCACTGCACCATGAAGACATACTGGGAAGTGCGGTTATAGCTCCACATATTCTAAACCTTGATAGTAGATGGAGGTGAGTGGTCAGCTTCATGCTTGGGCCACTTTACCTCCAGGAAAACAGCCACTGGATAGGAGGCTGAGTGTGCCTCAGTGTTATTCTGAATGCTGTGAAAAAGAGAAAGATTTCTTGCTGGCAACTGAGTCACACTTAAGCATGTTATATGGGGAAGGATGAAACACTGCTCAGATCAGGGTCCAGTGGCATGGTCCTGTGAATATGGTTATGAGTGACGAGGTCCCATAAATGACAAGAAATGTTATGATTAAATAAGGACATTAGATTCTCAACAAGAATTCAGCTCAGTAGAACTGGTTGGTTAGGAAAATCATTTTATTTATCCCCCAGATATGACAGGAGAAGTATTTTGTTGTATTTCATGACATCTCTCAGGTCAATGAGTCTTGAACTTCATGTTCGAGATTCACTGAACATAAGCAAATACAATGAGCTTTGCGACATTCAGAATTCCAAAAAGATAATTTTTAGAAAGGAAATTTACTTGAGGTGTTGATGAACAGTACTGTATATAAGAGAGGATGTGCGTACTCACTATGTAAAGTCAGTAAAGGTATCCCTGTAACGGGCCGTGGAGGCCCATAGGATTGTGAGATGTTGAGGTTCTCACATTTTCTAGACAATCAGTTCATAGAGGGCAGTAGGTTGTCAGCCTTACGCACCAGCCACCCTTTACCCCCAAGAATATTCCTGGTACTCATTTCTGTTAGAGGCTGAGTCAACCCCAGGGCCATAGTGCAGCTGGAAGGATTAGGCAAATTGAAAAATCCACCCTATCAGGATTCAATCCCGCAACCTTCCAGCTAGTAGCATAGTGCCTCAACCAACTACACTACCATGTGCCCTGCTTATGCTCACTACGTATCTTATTAAATCGTGGCTTATGACATAAGAAACATGATTCCTGACTTTCTCCTCACCTCCAAATAATACAGTATAAATCTTTCACAACTATTGTAGATACTTAATGATACTTAATAAAGTCCATTTGTAATTACCAAATTAGTTTCCTCTATGTTGAAGAGTTTGCACAGCTTTTCATTCGCCCTCAAACATGACATTGCCAGTTCATGACAGGAGTTCAATTTGGATATGCAAGAAGAGCACACTGTCACTGGCAATTTATCATCTTCTCTTACCTAAATATACATAAAACAAAGCATTTAGATATTTCTGAATCTACAAATTTAACCAAAATAAAACAAAGTACATGCCGGTAACCAAGAAAGACTGTGCTAATGGACCTGCATATATTGAAATTGGCTCATATAAATTTGAGGCTGTATGTAGTTTCATTTACCTTGGATCAGAAGTTAACTGTAAAAATTATATCAGTGATGAAATAAAAAAGTGTGTACTTGTGGCAAATAAATGTCTCCATGGCCTTAGGAAACACCTGAAATCCCAATTAATACCCAGGAAAACCAAAACTATGATGTATAAAGTACTTATAAGATCAGTGCTATCTTATGCCTCTGAGACCTGGCCACTGTCAAGATTGGATGAAAGACTGTTAACTATATTTGAAAGGAGGATCTTGAGATATATCTTTGGACCAGTGGAAGAAAATGGAATATGGAGGAAGAGGTAAAACCATGAGCTATACAAACTATTTAATGAACCAGCCATTATTTGATTTATAAAGGTGAAAAGGCTTGAATGGGCTGGACACACAATACATGCCAGCGAGAACAGAACGATTAAGAAAATACTTAATACTAAACCAGAAGGAAATAGGAGAGTGGGAAGACCAAGATTAAGATGGGAAGAATGTGTGTGGCACGACATAAGAATTTTGGGTGTAAAGAACAAGAACTGGAGGAATGTAGCATCGAATGGAGAAGAATGGCGAGCAATCCTGAAGAAGGCCAGGGCTCACAAAGGGCTGTTGTGCCAGTGATGATGATGATGATTTAGATATTTCAACCTAAGCATTGTCCAGATTCTTTGAATTGCAACATTGAAATACTGTTTAAATTAAACATGTATATTAGCCCATTCTCTGGTAATGTAAGAGAATTTATAATGTTGTGGAAAAATGAGCATACACTGCACGTGATCTTTCACCGTAATTTTATTCACATTAATATTGCTGTGAAATTTTCTTCATATCACTTCAGTGTGTTCACTGTCACATATTCATATAGAAAATAGAAATAAAAATTATCCTGTTTCTACTAAACATATATACATTTAAAATGTTCATTAATCCTGATGATGTGAGTCCTATATATTTTCAATATGACAGCATCATAAAGTAACCAAAAAGAAGTACCTGAAACTAGTGCTTTTTTAACCAGTATAAGCTTTTATGCATACTGGCATACAGTTGGTATGTACCAGTAGACTTTGCGAAAAGTCATATATCTTCTGGTGCATTATATCTTTCAACTTTGAGGCTAAAAAAAATATGAAACTAGTGGCAAACATAGTTTCAGAGAGAGAAAACACTGGTTACAACAAATTATTGTAGATGGTATGAGCTTTCAGTGAGCTGTGGACAGAACTTTACAGCTCATGAGGTTTTCCAAAGCTGTATTAAAGTTAAAATCTTGTAAACAGTAAATAAATAAGTTAATCTGACAAAAACTGTTAAGACATTTGCTGTTGTGTTTAATTAGCCACTTAATTTCCAGAATCAAACACTTAATGTATTACTCTTTACTTTTGTCAAAAGGGACACAGAAACACAAATTTAAGCTGTCAATCCCAATTAAAGCTTAATATTCACCATCACTAGTAATAATCACTACAGTCAATTATTTACACCACATTAGTTCAAACTTATAGCTATTCTGATATCCAACTTACTTCAATAGGTAAGTGCCAGTGTATTTTTTCAGCCAATTTCAGTTTTGTGCCCTCTTCTCCAAACACAGACACTAGATTCTCCGTTTCCAAAGCACATACACGACACAAATGAATCATAACATGTTCTTGCCAATTTTGGAATGGCATTTCACCCTGATGCCATTCTGCTCCTTCAGTTATGTACATGCACACTTCCTCTACCACTGTGCCCAGTGGATTCAACACTGGACTGGTCCCTTCATTTCCGGCACCAACTGTCGGCAGGCAGCTTACAAGTCCTTCCCCAAGTTCTAGTCTGTATTTTTACATTAGAAAAATATAAACAAAATATCTTATGGCAACTTTTCACCTATATAGCCAATATCTACTCAATAGGTATATACAAAGTGTTCTGCAGTGAAACTGATAAACTTTGCAAGTGTGTTCGGGAGGTTATTCTAAGCAAAATCATGATGGTGTAAAAAAAACAAAACAAGAAATTCACACACTTGATAACACCATAACTAAGGCAAATAATCATTTCGGTCCTATCATGATAGTGAAGCCAAACTGACCCATGGTTTATATTTTTTGCTTAGAATAACCTCCCGAACACGCTGGCAAAGTTTATCGGTTTCACTGCGTAACATTCTGTATATACATAGGCTATGGACATACAAGTTTTCCATATGAATTTAAATAAGCTTAAATGGAAACAGGGGAAAAGAAATCAATTTCTTTTACAAGCAGCGGGTTCTTTACCAGAAGACATTCACCCTAAAGAATATATCTTAAACAGTACATAAAACCCTTTCATGTCTCCCATTTTCTCAATTTTACCATCTGTGGTCTGTCTGATAGGCAACCATAACAAGCTTCTTACGTTTATACAGCAGTCTAGGTCTATGAAAGTCTCATTACTCCATCTCCTGCCTGTTATATAACTCTAAAGTCTCATGAACAAAAGTGATCTATGCCCACCCCCAATTTATTGCTGACCAACCATTTAATACAATGGTAAATAACTCCAAATTAATGGACACTTGTTATAAATTATTTTAAATTGATTATTGAATTTTATATTCTCAGTACACCATCAACTACAAGTTTTACAGGTATCAGTAACATATTTTACAAATGGAACATATGTTTTGTATCATATCATTATGAGAAGTGATTATTTACTGACATAAACAAATACTAAAAACACTTACTTTTGTTCCTTTCCTACCAAGATCTCAGGGCCATCATAGACGCCTTGCTTCACTGACTTCAAGCCACAGATTGAAGTAATGTCCTCCCTGCAATTTTTTTAACTGTCTATAAGTATGAATGATCATAAATTATACTAAATGTGAAGAATGGTATATGGAAGTAAAAGTAAAAACTCTATGTCGAGGTGAAATTTCAGCTTTGCATTTGGAAGAGAAACCCCCTCCTTGTCACAAAGTATTTTGATTTGGATAAATATGGTCACATTTAGGATGTGAAATACAATTTTCAGGCATCAGTAATTAAAGTTTTTTGCATACATATTTCCTGACTTGTGCTTGACTATATGTATGTTTGTACTGTTGTTTGTTCCCCACCCCTTTTCTATTAGTTGTGACACTTTCCACATCCTTATACTTTGTATGGATCTATGGAAATAAATGTATAGGAGTATGAGTAATACAATGGTAAATAACTCCAGATTAATGGACATTTATTATAAATCATTTTAAATTGATTAGTGAATTTTATATTGTCAGTACACCATCAACTAAAAGTTTGACAGGTATCAGTAACATAGTTTACAAATGGAAGGTATGTTTTGTATCATATCATTATGAGAAGTGATTATTTACTGACATAAACAAATACTAGTACAGAACACTTACTCTTGTTCCTTTCCTACTAACATATCAGATCCAACATAGGCACCTTGCTTCACTGGCTTCAAGCCACAGATTGAAATAATGTCCTTCCTGCAATTTTTTAATTGTATATAAGTATGAATGATCATAAATTATATTGAATATGAGGAATAGCATATGGAAGTAAAAGTAAAAACTCTAGGTGAAGGTGAATTTTCAGCTTTGCGTTTGGAAGAGAAACCCCCTCCCTTTCACAAAGTATTTTGATTTGGATAAATATAGTCGCATTTAGGGGCAAAATACAAATTTCAGACATCAGTAATTAAAGTTTTTGCATAAATATTTCCTAGCTCGTGTATTATACTCCAGAAATGTTGTAGTCTGAGGGTAGGATTATTTTTCTAAAGTCCCACAGGTCATTTATGGTCGGAGATCACTGTGATTCTAAGTATATGTCAAAATGTTCACATCTGCAGTAGTTTAGATTTTGGAAAGTTGGAGAACACAAGATGCAAACTATAGTTTGTAACTCATAACACGTTGCAGGTTCTTGTTTCTGCCATTAATCTGTCACTAAGAGGAGAATAATTTAGTTCCTTGGTGTACCCAACTCAAAAAATAAATTCCTTAAGCTCATTGTGCAGTTCATGAAGTTGACAGAATCATAACTGGAGGTATTTGACACACATTATAAATAGTGATAAGGAATATAAGAACATAAATGAGAAGTATTAACAAAAAGGTACTAATTAGCGAACTCCATGGAACTGAGTCCTTGAGAAGCCCTCAGCCACTCAAGAAATTCACAGCATTCTACATTACCTGAAGCTTCATTACTATGTTCACAGGATGTTGCCACTGGTCACTGTCCTGAGTTAGACAAATCCAATCCACACCCCTTATCCTATTTCTCACAGATTCATTAAATATTGCCTTCTTATGTATGTCTTGATCATCCTAGTGTATATTTCTTTCGGGGTGTCCTACAAGCACAGTGTATTTACTATATCCACATGCATGCTACATGTCTTGCCCATCTCATTCTCCTTGTCCTCATTCTAATAATATTTAGTGAGGAGTACAAGTTATGCCAATCCTCATTATGCAATTTTTTCAGCTTCCTATTATTTCATTCCCCTTAGGTCCAAATATACTCCTTAGCACCCTGTTCTCAAACGCCCTCTGTCTACATTCTTCCTTTAATGTGAGAGATCAAGTTTCACATCCATATAAAACTACAAACAATATTACAGTCTTGTATGTTTTAATCTTTATGTTTTTATATAACAGGCAAGAAGATAAAATTCTGAACTGAATGATAGTAGCTTTCCCCAAATTAAATCTCATAATTTCATCAGAAATTAAATTTCAATTTGTTACTGTCTTTCCAAATATTTTAACTTCACATTTTCTACAAGGATCCAGTAAATATCATTATGTTATGATTTTGTCTTGCATTCTGGTGATGTGACATCAACATGTACATAGTTTTATCTTTTCTTCTAGATCAACCTTCTTTCTCGCATCTTCTCGAGTTTCTGTGTTTTTTTGTGTGTTTGTATGGGATTGCTCAACAGTTAAACATCGTCAGCATAGATCAGAAGCTCATGTGTCCCATTCATTTTCAATCTTACCTGTTTTTCTTGAACAATGTACGGTCTATACCTTCTAGCAAAGAAATAATTTTAAAATAATTATGAAGATTCTTTGAAGTTCATGTTTTTATTTCTTATATGCCATGCATGCCAACATCTATAATACTCATAAATGTTCTTAGAAATAATGAAAACATGAGATAATTTTACCATAAAGTTATCATATTCTAATGTATTGAAGTTTTAATTCATATAATGCATGCTCTGGAAATATTACATCAATAAAAATATATGTAGAAAGGTATTTCACATATACTTTGTCCAGATGATTACTAAAAACAATGGAAGTGTGATGCTCCAAAAACAGTCATTCACAAAATATAACTGATAAATAATACAGTTATCTCTCATATTTTATTAGTGCAACCTGACATTCCTTTAAGTTTAAGAAGACACAGAAGTCAAATAATATAATTTCTTACTTCTCTTCTACCTCTTCCTTTATATGAGATGCATATGACAGAACACATACTTCACTCTGATCCATTGCTTCAAAATTAATTTCTGGGATTTACAGATCCAACATCATCCCTGAAATAAAATTACATACATCTGGAAAAGACCCTTGACTTGTCCTATGTCGTGTATAATGATCCATGGATGTGAAGTGAATAAATAAAAAAAATAAACCCTTTTTAAAAATGATGCAGCTCAATAAACATAGGAAATGGGTATGTACATTTGGAGGATATATGGTCTGACATTTAACAAGATTCATATTGTGTTATTCTGGCTTATGATACCATGCAGTCTGGTAATACAGATTGTTACCAATGTTTCAGATGAACATACTGTCAATGTCTTTACTTCTGCCCTGAAGACAGTCAATATATTCCTCCAAAATGTCAGTAACCACATTCCAGAGACCAAAGTGTCATAACTCAGTCTTACCTTCTAGAGATGGAGGCAATATGTTCCTCTGAACACCAAAACTCGCTATCAGTCAGAGTAAAAAGGTGAAGTCCCTGTGCTTAACTAATTAAGCACTACACCATGAAGGTGTACAGGGGAGTGCACATAATTTTGACCTTGGCACTAGTTGGAGGTGAGTGGTCAGCTTCATGCCTCAGCCACTTTACCCCCAGGGAAAGAGCCCACAGTACCTGTTGGATAGGAGGCTGGGTGGGCCCCAGAGCCAGTCTGGATGACATGGAGAAGTGAAAATTCTTGCCCGCACGGGGATTCAAACTCCACCCCTTGGTCGTCCAGCCTGTAGCTACTTGCTATACCGATTACGCTATTATCATACAGAGTACATAGTGTAATAACCCAGATCACAATATGAATTGGAAATATACATTTACATGTCTGCCATTTTTTGTTACTGTTTGAAATCTGAATAAATATTTTAGATTAGCTCAGCAAATACAGCAATGGACTGGGTAGCCAGGGTCAGATTCCTGGCAGGGGAAAGAGATTTTTCTCAACACAGCAGTCACACGGGGTTTGAGGCCCACCCAGCCTCCTATCCAATGGGTACCAGGGGCTCTTCTCCAGTGGGTAAAGCGGCCAGGATGTGAAACTGACCACCCTGCTCGATCTAGTGCTGAGGTCAAGAATGGTGGAGCTATACCTCCACTCCCCTGCACATCTTCATGCTGTGGTGCTTAGTTAATTGAGCACAGGCACAAATTTATGTTTTACTGTTTAGCAACAACACATTCATAAGTTCAACCTTAATGACAAGATCCTGGTCATGCACTTCTGTAACATAGACTGGCTAATACATGGAATTCATAAAAAAAAAAATGAGGACATACAGTGCTATGTTTTATGTTAATATGACTGAGCCAAGGCAAAAATGCACAGCACCCTTAATACTCAAAGTATGGAGGTAAGGATGGTACAATAGGCCAGAAGTGGCAGCAGTACAAGGGACTTAGTCCCACCCCACTAGCAATAATGCAGGTAAGGTGGCAAATTTTAAAGAACCCAAGTGACAGAAAAAGCAGATGATGCCTCAAACTCCTCATTTGATATGTATGCATAATAAAGATTCTTTCAGAACAAAAACACATCTGTTGCTACATCAGGGTATCTCAGACGTGAATTTGGGTATTTGTATTACTGAAAATCTAAGCTGGGCAACTCACACTCAATACGTATGCCAAAAGCTCAACAAGGCTCTTTATTTTATTAAATCCTTACATGACTCAGTTAGTCAACCTGTATTAAGAAATGTCTATTTTACTAAGTTTGAATCTATATTGAAATATGGTATTATTTTTTGGAGTGGGGGGCTTAAGGACTCTGAAACTGTATTTAAAATACAGAAAAAAATGTCTAAGAGTGATTAAAGGTGATAATAATAATAGAGTATCCTGTAGAAATATGTTCAGTGAATTTAAGATTTTAATTGTTACCTCATTATATATATTTGAGATTTTATGTTTTATAATAAGATATATATAACTCAGTATTCTGACATTCACCACTACAATACCATACATACTCGTAAACATAATTTGTATGTCCAGTTCTGTAATACCGATCGTTGCAAAAAAAAGGTGTAATTAATATGGGAACTAAAATATTTAATTGCCTCCGCCTTGAATTGAAAAGTGTTAAAAATTGTAATGTTTTTATGAGGAAACTTAAAAATTATTTGTTGTGCAGCACTTTCTTTTCTCTTCATGAATTTTTCAACTAATGTTGGACTGATGACTAGCTTGTTGATTGTCTTTTGGTTTGCAATTTTTAATACTGTGTTTACATGTTTTATATTACTGACAATTTTTTTTGGTCTTTTGTATTTTTATTATTATATTTCTTATAATAGTTGCTATATTGTAGTGATAAATCATGTAAATTTTATGTGACTTTGACATGTGATGTATTCATTATTATTTCTTGACATATCCAATTGTATTCACTTCAGTTATGGACAAAAATAAAGTTGAAAATTGATGAGTGACTATGCAGTGGATAACCAGGGACCAATACCCAGCATGGCAGTGATTTTTCCCTTGCCACAATGTCCAAAATAGCTTTGGAATCCATCCCTCCAGTATATACCTCCAGAGGTAAAGCTGACCACACACCTCCAATTAGTGCAAGGGTTAGGGATGGATGGAGCTTTAAACACTGCCAACATACATGCTTTCACAGGCAACCTTGCCTATTTTTATATTTCCTGTTTTAATACTGCAAACTGTGAAGTGGTTACATTAGTACTATATGTTGAAATTCCTACGACTAAATACAAAACATAAAATACACATATACCACACCAATGAACCAGTGCATAATCGATTCGGTTTGCTATACATTTGCGTCTGCACAATTATTAGCACATATACCATGCTACATCTGTTATAATACTGTTTATAACGCTTATCGTAAATCCTGATTATATTGCATCCTTACCTTTTGATTCGCTAGCCAATGTAGAAATTTTATGATTGACAATTTTATAAATATCTAGCAATTCCTGAGAAATTCGAACTAAGCGACATGTGTTGTGAATCCTTTTCCATGACAAATTTCTACAAAATTTTTTGATACTAAATATGGTACGAAAATACAATATATTCATAACCTAAAATATCTCTTCTTATCATAATGTTTTACGTTTGGTAGTGTAGAAATTGTATATAACCCTCCTCTTCGAAAGGCCTCTTCTAAATAAATTAGCTATTAACACTTCCAGCGTGAAGTTCGAGTGTTTTGTGTTAAAATGCCATTCGAACTATCGCTTCAACAACACCAATGAGTAATAATCTTCCATTTTGGGTGTTTTCAATCTCACAGCCTGAAATTAAATATCAGTAAATAACCTTTGGTGCATGTGATGAACTCTTTGGTTTCCTTCGTTTAGTTTAAGTTACCGGGTGCGTTGCCAAAAGCGTCATACAACGTGGCATGTACGTGTACGCCGTGTAGACCGGTGTAGACCATGTAGATGGTCTGTATGTCTATATTTCGTGCAGTCCCCATTTGTGTGCAATTCAGTGCTAGTTTTGGTCACAATAGGCGTGGCCAGACGATTCTCAGTGTTGTTCATTTAGGAACTTGGAAGACGTCGTGGGTTGCTGGTGGCTGAGTAGTGAGTAAGTGCAGTAATTTAGTGTAAAATAAATATTGTAAATATTTTAGTTAACACGTTAATTGTCACAGATGATGAAAAGAACCAATTCTATAGACGTGGGTTGCAGAGTTGTAGATTGTGATGTATTATTGAAAATTAGCTATCGTCAATAGGCCTGTTGCGGTAGTGGCTGCCACATAATCTGCCACGAAGATTCAAAGGAGGAGATGAATTTTGATTATGTACGAAGTAACTTTCTTTTTCTGTTGTGATGTGATCAGCACGAATCGGACTGAACATAATACAATATAGTTAGTGTACATACAGACATTTTTCCTATTGTGTATGACATTTGCTGTGTAGGTATAATAATTTGGTTTATTCGTTGAATATAAATGCTCCATTAGAAGTGACTTTTTTTCTGTTTTATTATACATGATTTTAATTTGTTATTTAAAATTGTGTCCTTTTAGGTTCCAGTACAAAAATGGATATCCAAACAAGTCTAATTTATGCTGGAGTAGTTGTACTTTCTGCAGCGGTTATATTTGTAATTTCAATGTTTGGTATAAAAGAGAAGACATACGAAGAAGCGATCGCAGAACAGAGAAATATGCCAGAAGAAAATTTATTAATAGGTCACAGTAATAAAGACAAACCCAAGGATAAGAAGCAAAAGAAAACGGGGAAGAAAGTGAAAGAGAAACCAACAGAGCGTGAGAAGAAACAGTCAGAAGTAGTATCATCAGCACCTGCTCAGCCAGTCTCACAAGAAAAGTGTCATGTGGACTTCGGGGAACCAGAAGCAGAAGTTTTAAGTGAACGTTCTCCACAGGTACATATTTGGCATTGCAGATTTCATTCATAGATAGACTGTTTATGAATGAATGATGTGGGTTATTGTGCATGTTTTTACTTAGTATCTGATTTGTTGCTCTCTCTTGGTGTTCAAGTTAAATCTTATGGAAATGAAGCATGTTTTGATTGCATAATCTTTATTAATATCATTTATATAAGTTAAGAGACTTTGCAAAGTTCTAAACAAAATGCTAAATTATGGTGGTTTAGTAATACATTTAAGAGGCTTGATCATAATATTATAAAGTCATACTGCAATTGCTGGGGTTTAAATAGATTTTAAATAATCCCACTGAGATGATAAGTTATAGACTGTGTTCACATGTAAATCACTACAATTTGTAGTCAGTCCTAACATCAGAACAGTGCTAGTGAAACATTAGGATTAGTTGCTCACCAGAAGTCTGTTTTAGGAGACGTGTATATATATATATATATGATGAGGTTGGCTTGTTACGGTGGATGATAATGCAGGTGTTTCCACTATACTCTGTGCTACAGAAATTTTTAAAAGTCTTTCCCCCCCCCCCCCAAATAAATATGCATCTGGTAATATATATATATGAGCCAGGATAGCACAGTCAGTATAGCGACTGGCTATAGGCTGGACAACCTAGGGATCGGGATTTGAATCCCAGTGGGGTCAAGAGTTTTCACTTCTCCAGTCATCCAGACCAGCTCTGGGGTCGACCCAATCTCCTATACCAGTGGTTCTCAACCTTTGTCAGATTGTGGCCTGGTAAATTCCTATTTCTATAAGCCTTTGGCCCGGTATAATTCATTCCAGGGCCCAATACTGGGTCGCGACCCAGCGGTTGAGAAACACTACTCCTATACGAATTGTGCCAGGGGTAAATTTCAGCCAGCGAATAAGGCTGACAGTCTCACCACCACCTGTGAGCTGATTGTCTGGAAAATGTGGGAGCTTCGACACCTCACAACGCTGTGGACTTCCAGGGCCTGTTGCAAGGATAGCTTTACCTCTTTTTTGTAATAATGCTTCCTCTGATAAAACTTGGGCTTGTTAATGTATAATTTTTGTGCTGATATGCCATGCTGTCAGACAAATGCTGCCTGTACTGTGTGCATTACAAAAGAGTAAAACTATTTTGATTTACCATAATTGTGTGTCAGTTTAATTTATTTGAAAAATATAATCCAGGTCAGTAAAACTTCTTTTGCAAGACACATTTTAGATAAAAATCATTTTTGAACTTACGAAACAGATTGGCACTTATCTTCCATGCTGTATATCTACATGTCTTACGGACAGTAACATTCACTGACGTAAGAATAGGTTTTTCCTGGAACATTTCAGGAACATTATATGTCTCAATTTAATTTCTCAGGTTAGGTGCTGATATTGAACTATACTGCAAGGAAAATATTCTTTTGAAAGTGTAGTGTTACGGGTATACATTTTATACATTCATATATATATAAATAAAATAAATGTTTGAAATCTGAAATCAGGTGGGTTGTCAGATACAGCCCTGATAGCAAAGCAAATCTTAAAAATAATTAAAGTTTTCATACTCCAAAGCTTTTACATATTTTTTAATGACTGTATTCTTTTTTTTTTTTATTTGCACTGTTAATTATTAAGCATTTCATTGTTATGCTTTTGTTCAGATAAAACACAAATATCACTGAATAATTAATTGCAAAAGATGCATAAAGTCCAAAAAGATTTGCCTGGCTTGTAAATGAATTATCGTGTCTTTCTACATGTAGTTGTTACGTCAGTATGTCATTTGATGTTTAATATTCCAGGAGGACAAGAAGAAAAAGAAAAAGGAAAAAGTAAAGCCAATTCTATTAAATAAAGATGAACAGAGCCAGATTGTTGAGGTTGCACCTGTTCCAGCCAATCACTTTGAGGAGATTCAGCCAAAAGATGACTTGCTCCTAAAACAAAAAGGAAATGTAAGTGTGTAGACATTTTGCTTTACTGGCTTGTACTTTTGATTTACATTCGGCATGACCTGGACTCATTGACTCAGAGACTGGCTATCTTGACCAAGATTTTCATGGTTTTATTCTGTCCCTTCATGAAGATACCAGGATAGTATTTCAAATTAGGCCACATTCTTTCCAATTCATCATTCAGTAATCATCCTGCCAATTTACAGCATATATTTTGAGACACTGACAGCATCATTAAACAAACTAAGAATTAATAAATACATTTTACTGATTCTGCAGTTGATAATAATGTATCCAAGTGTTTACACATACAGCTGATCACTTTAAACAAGTTTCACAGAACTTGGTGACTGGCATTCAGGAATTCTGAATGGTTTATTATTCAGGAATAACAGTTTTAAATTTCTTAACACTACAATGATGGGTGCCATATTTCTATCAGAGGGTAACAAGTTATCGTCAGGGAATAAGGAATTTTAAATTTCCCACTTCTCCTTGCCTTGTGGCCATATTTGAACTTGGGTGATAATATTAGTATTAAAATTATGCTGTATTTTGTCAGCTGGACTACCTGCTCACGGAAAGGTTTTAAAAGTATGATAGTGTTGTCCCTTTAAGTAAACCCTGTTAAAATATATGCAGTTTTTTTTCATTATATTTACATAGTTCTGCCATTGAATTTGTGGTTGTGTGCATACTGAGCTGTTCCATATTCACAGTGTGTTACTGTAACAAGGTGCTGCATATGTAGTAAATCATATCCATAAATTATCATTGTTGTGTTGTATTTTTGCTAGAGTAGTGTATGACCATGCTTCATAGCCTCAGTTTGTGGAAACAATCTAATAATATATCAGTTAGATACCTGTTGTGTAATGTGCATCATAAACACTGTACTGTTTATTTTCCAGAAGGATGATTTAGTTGGTAAAGGTGACAAAGCAATTGTGGAAAAAATGGTGGAGCCTCTCACTGTCCCTGACAAGGGACCTGCTAAACAGCCCATTGCTAAGGTTGAAAAGAAGCCAGAGAAGGTGACAGCAACAGTAATACAACAGGAACAGGCTACACCTCCTCAACCATCAAAGGAACGCAACAAGAAAAAGAGGAGTGAACTTGCAACACTGCAGCAAATGAGTGAGTACAGATTACTTAAGTATATAGTTGTTGGTGTAACTTTTATCAAGGGAATAGCAAGTGGTTCTGTGAAGTGATACAAACTGATCAACTGGTCAGATGTTTCATGTAATACTTGTGATACACCATCAGGTTCCTTTTCTGCATATGAAAATTATGCCTTTCAAACTGAATGGAACTCCAACATTTTGTGTGCATTTAGCCTAAAATATCTGGCCGCACCATAGCTCAAGCAGTTAGTCACTGGCTTCCCACTGCGGCGGCCCGGGTTCGATCCTGGGTCTGGTCAAGTGGGATTTGTGGTGGACAAAGTGGCACTGGGGCAGGTTTTCTCCGAGTACTTCAGTTTCCCCTGCCAATCTTCATTCCACCAGTTGCTCCACAATCACGCTCACCTATCATCTAGGGCTGGTACAATAGGCCAGAAATAGCCGCAGTATAAGGGACTTAGTCCCACCCCACTAGCAACAAAAAAATAATAGCCTAAAATATAAAATTTCAATATACAAGGTGTGGCAATAAAGAAACCGGATTCATGCTCTAACCCTTTATTAAAAAAAAATCAGGCAGTCGAAATGTTATCCCCTTCAATGTAGTCCCCTCCCCGATCCCTACACCGCTCCATGCGAATTTTCCACTGTTGGAAGCAGTGCTGCAGGTCATCTTGTGTTATGCTCTTCAAGAGTTGCGTCGCTTTTGCTTTCACTGCATCCACGGACTCGAACCTGGTCCCTTTCAGCGCAGACTTGA